TTCCACTGTAGGGTTTTCCTTCCAGCCCAGRAAACCCTCATGTGTGCCACGTTTGTTGTGCTGGCTCCTTACGACAAGAAGCATTTGGGTGCTTGCTCCATCCTGGTGTGCACTCTGCACTGACTCCATGCCGATCCCTTCCAGCCCTCATGGAGCTCCAGATCCCTCAGGCACCTTGCCCATCCCCGTGGGCATCAAAGTGGAGGCTCTCTCCTGTCATCTTCATGACAAACCACTGCCACGTGCCCCAGCTGCAGCCCCAGCGCCCACTGGGAATGGGGGAAAAATGGCAGTGGAAGGAAAAAGCTCTTGTGTGTGAATCCAGCTGGATCTGTTGGTCATTTCTCACGTTCTCCTGCCCCTGTGGCACGGGAAGAGCAGCTTGGGCCTGGCTTGTGCCACCTTATTACAACACCTGCTGATGGGGAACATGCACCTGCCTGCCCACAGCCCCGGTTTGACCAGACCTGTTTGTCTTTGGATTTGCATTCAGGGCTGGTGAGGGAGGTTTAGATCAGATATTGGGAAGAAGCTCTTCCCTGAGAGAGTGATGAGGCCCTGGCACAGGCTGTCCAGAGAAGCTGTGGCATCCCTGGAAGTTTTCAAGGACAGGTTGGACAGGGCTTGGAACAACCTGGTCTAGTGGGACCTGTCCCTGCCCATGGCAGGGGGTGGAACAAGATGAGCTTTAATGTCCCTTCCAACCAAAACACTTTGGGATTCCATGATTCTAACTCAGGAAAACCAGCACAAGCCTTGCTTTGGAGGGCAGGTGGAACAAGAGCAGCTCAAAATGCCAGCATGGGTGGCTGCTCCTCTGGGAAAGGGTTTGCCCCCATTCCTCCTGGATTATATTTAAGGGAGCCCTCTCTGCTGTGGGCCCCGTTGCCAGGTGTGGTGCTGCAGGTGATGGCCCAGCCGTGTGTGCCTTCCAGGCAGCACATCCTCCTGCACCTGGCAGAGTTTCACGGGGAATACCAGTGAAACAGGGATATTTCTTTCCTGGTGGTGAGTTTCAGCCTGAAAAGTTCCAGCTGACTCATCCTGACGGAGCTGCAGGTGGGAGGCTCAGCTGAAAGGGCAACCAGCAGCAGGTTTCCACCCTTCCTGCCCAAGACAAGGGACACCAGCTTTGGGTTAAACCCTTTTTCTTAAATTTTTTT